GATTTAGGTCTGTTACATAATTTTAGCCTTATGTTGTTTGCAGCACCCGCACTTGTTACCGGTCATGTTTTCATGATGGAACCTGCAAGTCTTTTCTCACTGGCGTAAACCAGCAACGGCTGCGTGCAATAGAGAGCCCTCATGGTAACATGTATAACATATTTTCTCCTCGTTATGATGTGGAGGGATCAAGCAATGGTACTCAATATCGCAAAAGCACTATTTGCAGGTAAAAGCTACTAGTGAAAAAACTGATGCTTATAAGTGACCTGTTATTGCAACCAGCCTGTGGGATATAATTCTTAGAGAATGAACAGTGGTGTGAAAGGTTATTGAAATCTTTTTACCTTGTAATATCGTAGTAGAGGAAGTTAAGAAGATAAAATGGTGTAAATACAACAGTAACCAAATGCAGTTAGATTGTCTTGCCTTTTAAACTGTATTCACATTCTACTATGTGACCTACTATCTGTTCCTCCCCTTTAGTATGCAGTGCTAATCCCTTGCCTGGTTGCTTATCCTAACTATCTTTAATTAACATTAGGTATTCTGTACAGTGTGAACCAGGACAGATTCTCAGCTACACAATCAAAGAAGTTGATCTTCAAGACAAAGTGTACTGTTCAAATGAAGAAGTGTGTGTAGACTGGGTTGATATTTTATTCTACGATAGCAATGATGAGCAATTAAGATTATGTGGGAGGAAAGAGAAATCTGACGACGTTTTTATAGTTGGAAGTGATAGGATGGACTTTAAGTTTGTCAGCAATCGCTTTGCCGAAGCGAAAGGGTTCTTTTTTGTTGTTCAGTGTTCTGAGTCTAACTTAGGTCAACAAAATGCTTCAGTTCAGTTAAGACCTCCCTCCCATCAGTATTGCAGTAGACCTTGCTGTTCAAAACCACCTACAGTTGTGGTAAGCTGTTGTAGTAAATCATTTTAATGCTTGTTAAGATTTCTTTCTTCAGCTTAAAAAGCCAAGCTACACCAGATTCAGATATTTCAAAACGATTGTTAGGAGGCGATGGAGGCTCGTTTTAAAGAATTACGAACTGTTAATCATAAATGAGCAAAAGCATGTGTTACGAAGAGTAAGAGTCTCTAGACTGGTGGTGAGAGACAGTCCCAGAGGTGACTACTCCAGAATGCACTACCACTACTACTCTGGTTACTACTCACATGTTTTTCTTGGCTACGGTATGAAAATAATGATGGTTGTTTTAAAGTTAAAGTTTTGGTTACAATGTTTATCTTTTTCTTTCAGGTTTTCTCACTGTATATCGAGGAAGAGCTCATTATCTTCAGACTAGAGTTGAACCTATGGTCGGTTCAAATACATATTAATCTAGTAGCTAAGAATTGTTGTGGACTTAAATTTTTTTAGTTCATACCTACCAGACAAGAGGCCAAGATCATTCTGAGACTCCAACGGGCGCTGAACAATTACCTTCAGCTGGACACCTTTGATGTAAAGGACTCCCTAGATGACCAGGAAGCAAAACAAACACCTTCCTTGATGCAACAGAGGCAATTGAGACCTCCTTATCTCCGCCCGTTACCTGCATGGCTGATATCCAACAAGGAATACAGTATGCAAGTTTCTTTCTCATTATAATGTGATGTCTGTCTATAATAACGTGACACTTTCCCTTTCAGCAAACTTATTGGCACTTCGGTACGGGAATGCCTGCAACCCAGTCTTGCGTGCAACTGCCTGCAACTACCAAGCACATGTACTAGGAAAAGATTGCAAGACTGGCTTATCAGTTGATGCTGACAGTGCGCAACTATACTGAGAGTGAACTAAAGTTCATTGGGTGTAAACAAATGACATTTGCTAGCTAATAGTTAGTGTATTATAATCTCTTTGCTCAATAATGAATACCCCTGTACAAGTATTAGCTACAGTAGCTCTGTTGTTTTCTCAGTCCATTTACAAATTCTTCTCAGTCAAGATTTTGATAGTTTCAAGCTGCACTTCTCGGGAAAGTGTATACACCCGCTCGAAGCAGCAGGATGCGCATGCGCACGCGCTCGGGTTCGGCACGGCTATAAAATTAAGCTGGAGGCCGCGCGGTAGCTCAATCGCTTTTCAAGATGCCATTCCAAGAGCTGTACTTCGCTTTGTTTCTGATCAGTCCCGCAATCCGGGTTTTGGCAAGGACGGAAAGTTGCACAAGGTACCTGCCTGCCGGTTCAACGGATTGCTCTACCACGACCGGGGAATGCGAAACCCTCTACCACCGGAACAATACTGATGTTCCCGTGTCCCAGTTGCCCTATCCAGCACCAAAGTACGTTTTTAATTATGGTTCACTAACATCATGATTTTCTACAGCACCCGTTCCTGCTATCGGACCTGTTTCGAGGATGGTGTGTGTAAAGCTTTTGACCCGCATTCATCTCCCCAAACTTTACATGTGCTCGTCAATGGTAGTGGGTATACTTTCCAACATGTGGCTTCTCCTCGATATGGAGAGGGCAACTATCGTAAAAGCACAAACTGCAGGTTAGTTTACATAGATACCGATGTGTTATTGGTGAAAAATGAAACCGTTTTTCTGAAAATGATTTTGTTTTTGGTGTTACAGAGGAAACTCTAGAATAACTTTCAATAGAGTCCACCTGGTGTTTCAAGCCTAAACATGCCAGTGTTTCCAGTCACACTACTACCAAGGATATTATCACACTGTGTTGTGGCAATGTAGCTCGTTGCCATAATAAACAGCAGCCACATATCTAGAGCCATTGATGATGCACCCTGAACACTAGAACAAAACTAGGTTCCTGCCTTGCTACACAGACATCCAAACTGCGACTCTTTGAAAGTCTCAGACTCTGAGGGGATAGTTCAACACCAGGGCTATTGCCATAACTTTGCCTTTCTTAACTGCCGGATATGCAGAACATAACCCTCACATCAACTCAAGCAGCGAAGAAAGGGTTTTCTCTCATAACTCAGTAGATAACACAAATGATGCTTTCCTCAGTCTAGCTTAAGACTGGAAATGCTTAAATTCTTCTCCAAGAAGTTCCCGAATATAATTAGCTATACTGGTTTCATTTTCTTTTCTTTTCCTGTATTTCATGCTTGTAAGTCCCCAGCATACCCACTGATGAAGGTAGACTGCTTGTGGGAGTTTATGAGCCATAACTCTCTATATATACACTACCTGCCCGGTACTCACTGCTAGAGAACACATCAACAGTTGACTCCCTACAATAATTGCACCACTGGCTCTGTGGCTTTAAAGAATGTTTAAAGGACAAGGCTTCTGCTCATGCATTATTGCTGGTAATTATGTGCACGTGACTGATAGACTTCTAAAGGTGAGATTTGTCCTTTATTCCAAGGTTTTTGTCCTTTATTGGAGGTAGAAATGGATGAAGTGTAGCTATGGTTGACACTCAGTAGTTTGCGAAGTTGTCCTCTCCTTAGGGTGTCAATTATCGGATGTTCTACTGTCCAAATTGAATGATATTATATATATTGCAGGTATTCTATAGAATGCGATGAAGGGCAAAACCTGGCGTACACTGTTGATGCATTTGATCTTGAGGATGAAGTTACCTGTTCACATGGAGAGAAGTGTGTGGACTGGGTGGAGATAACATTTCCCCATCTCAATCTCAAGAGGAGGTTCTGTGGGAGAGGAGAGTTTGGAGAATCAAGAGTTGTTGGTCACAACAAAATCTCGTTTGAGTTCGCCAGTAATCGCCGTGTTCAAGATCTTGGGTTCTTGTATACCGTTCGGTGCCTCGATAGTAACCTGGAACATGATGCTTCAATAGCTGAATACTGCAGTAAGCCTTTGGGCTCACAACCACCAATCATCCGGGTACAATTTCCATTTTCATTACCGCATTACAATTGTTAAGTTTTTTCTCTTCTGCAGCCAGAAAGGTTGGATTACGATCCGACTACTGCTCCTGTTAAAACTGTAGTTGGAAAGAAAAGCGTTCTTGTTTTTAGGGACGATTTGATATCTGTGTTTGAAGGAAAGCAAGGGTTATACAAAACAAAAGGAATCGATCGTTTAGATGTGGAAACTGATTTATCAAAAGTCACCGAGATTTACCCTGGTCCCGACCTTAAAGTTTTCTCTGGCTATGGTATGACTGTAAGATAAGATAATTAGGTTGAATCATTCTCTGTGATGAAATACTAGGTATTCTTGCAATAAATGATGGCCGAGCATACTATTTTCAGACAGGAGCCAATCCCATTGTGAGTTCGACCAAAACCTATTGTTATTAAAGACTAGGCTCTTCATTGTGTACCACTTTTAAGCTCCAACCATCTAAAAAAGAAGAAGCGGTCATACTGAGAATCGATATGGCCCTGAACGATTTCCTTGGGATAGACGCATTTGATGTGAAGGATGATCTTGACTATCTGGAATACCTTCGGAGGCCAGTGTTCCAAAGGCCACAAATGCGCCCTCGTCGACCATTTGTTTCAGCAACAAAAAGATTCTATGAGAATGCAAAAGGTCTGTATGGGGCAAAAGTTATAAAGGCCGTGTTTTACCAAAGGCAGGAACACCTCAACGAGAGTGTATTTTTTTATGCATATTATTATGTAGGAAGAACAGAAAGTAACAGTACATAAGCCACTCAGAACTTCTAGCACTTAAAGGTTGTGGTGTATGCTTACGCACTCTTAATTTCTTACTTGTGAATTGTTATTTCACGCTCATTGCTATAATATTTCTTCTCTTCACTTCTCAGTGAGCGGACTTGCTGCCATGTTTGGAAATGCCTGCAACCCCATTCTGCGTGCAAGTGCCTGTGACTATCAGGCAATTGTTCAAGGAAGAGATTGTAGGACTGGCATGTTACTCTAGTTAGATCATCATAGTTTGCTGATAATGAACTGAAGTAGTACAAACTTGTTAGTTTTGGTGTATGGTTATCGTAGTATACTACAATTTGCTCCATGAGATACAATGTTAAAATACGTTGATGTACCACATGGGGTAAGATAATCGAGGTGCATTACTGGAAAAGCAGAGATATTATCTCCAGAGAAAAAAGTCAGAGCTCTCTCTCCTCTTTGATGGTTAGCTACTCAGTGACATACAAAAGATCCTTGACTTAAAAAACATTAGGGGAGCTAAGTATTCAAATTCTTTTGGGAGCTCACCTCGTTTCTTTGGGACAATCCTATGTTGTGGAACTTGCATGTGATTTGACATTACAACTACAGCCATCACTCGAATGCACTTGATCTATGTACTGCCAGCAGAAGTAGCTACACTACGGGTAATTTAGGTGCCACTTCGCTTGCACAAAGAATGCTGAGCATTTCCTATTTCCTGTGAGGGGAAGGTGTGTGGGCGTAGCAATCCTCTGACGGAGGGTGGTGTTCAACAGGCTTCAGTGACAGATCCTGCGTGGGACACACACACAATTACATCCACTAACCTGGAATACCACTTTTGGGTTTCTATCGAGCCCCACTTCTCCCACATTGTACTTAATTGATTGAGTATTAATTTACATGTACGTAAAATAAGAAAGAAGTGGGTATTATATATAAAGCTTCTGCCACCTGGTTTTGATTAGGGGTTAATGTTGAGGCATGTTCAATAATGCTCTATAATTTTTGTTTTGTGCATGTGGTAGAGGATGTTTACCGGCAGTTGGAAGTAGCCTACAGGTTTTAAACCAGGACATCAATCAACTCCCCCCACCCGGCCAGCCCAACCACCCAGGTCTCTCAGCATGAAGTCGGCAGTAACTTTTTTGCATTGATATGTAAAGCCTGCCCTTGAGTCATAACTGAGCATGTCCACTGAAAACCACATGTAGTCTAAAGAGGTAAGTGAACCAATGCTATGAACCCTTTTCCAGGAAAGGTCCATAATAATATACATATTTTACTGAGAACTGGGAAACATTTTTGCCTCATATCACTGATCCTGATCCTTAATTATTGTACACTGAATGGATAGCTAGCTATGATAGTGGTGACAATTAGAGGTTGAGATTCGTTATTGGTGCGGATACAACAGGGCAGGATACAACAGGGCAGGATGTAAACTAGTATTGTCGCTTCATGGACGACGTAATCTTTGGGCATGCGCATTGTCCCCAGTGTGTTGCTAGAGCGGAAGTGGCACTGCGCACGCGGCTAAAGCCCCCCATATCGTCTCACGGCTATACATGATCACACAGAACAGTTTTAGCTGCTGAAGATGAAGATTTCGTCCATCACTATTGAAGTTCTACCAATTTTCGTTATGCTGAGTGTTGGTCTCGCAGCACAGCGAACGTGCCGGAGACGGGCACCTCCATTTACTGACTGTTCATCCACGACCGGAGAATGTAACTTTATGTTTGATACCAATAACCTACCACGGGCGCTTCCAATCCCACCTCCGAAGTGAGTGGCTGTAATACTAACTAGCCACACACTAATTCTTTTATGTCCGCAGCACTCGCACCTGCTACCGAACCTGCCATGACACGAATGGTCAGTGCAGGTCTGTTCCTACAGTAATAAACGAGCAGAAGCTGCAAATCGACAGTGCTGATCCAAATTATAAAGTCTTCAGGATATTTTCACCTAACTACGACAGAGGGAGCTACCGAAAAAGCACTATCTGCAGGTAGAGGCTTAGCAACTCAATGTGGGGCTGGCATTGAAACAAGCGATTTCAGTAGTCTCTGAAACGGACCACTGCTCGAAGTGCCCCCGAAAAGGCTATATACCATGAACGTAATGAACTGTGGTTTACCAGTAGCTCTTAGAACAGGAAGTACTAATCAGTAGCCTGCAAAGAGTTGCGCAATAATTATGGTACAACTGAGACTGTTAAGAGAAGAGCATTTATTTTGGTATGCATCAAATCTAAAGATCACTAAGTACGGTAGTATTTAGTATATAGGGATGACACAGGTTGTCCTGCAGTATTTACATTACGTTGGTATCACCCCTTTTGCATGTGCACTTTACACGTAAAACGCTAATGTATACCCTTCACTATTGGAATGGCTTATAAGTTGCTGGACTTGTTTGTAAAAGAGGGCAACCGGTATGTGCCAAATTTCCTCAGCAATCAGATAAAACTCAGTCCGTATATATAGCTATAGTGTTTACGCAGACTGAACAGGGTCTCACCGTATTGGTGGTATAGCTAGCCAAGTCACAGGCATGTAGCTAACCTTGTCTCCTGTTTGTTTATGGGTGTGAATTTGAACTTGTTAGCTAGCCAAGTAACTTCTAGCTATCTTGAGGTAGATGTGATTGGTAACATAATACACTGAGAGATCGAATTGGTAACATAATACACTGAGAGATCTTTCATACAAGAAATGGAGAAGCATAGGTTTAGTAGGGAATAAACTACCTAAAATATAAACCTTACCTCGTAAATGTCCATCAACCATAGAACATCCATGGCAAATTACGGACTAGTTCTCATCCACTGGAAATTTAGGTTGGAAGGCTCCATAAACATAGTCCTCTCCCAGTCACTGATTGAGAACGAATTCCACTTTTTTCGTTGTCGTCAATCAGGCAACAAATGGACACATATATTATTTTTAAGTCTCTTCTTCATGTCTGTGGAACATTTTTGACTCAGCCATTCCCACCCACAAGTGAAACACTCTGTATCTTCATCTACCAGTCTTTCATCATTCATAGAGTAGTGACCAGTGAGCTACCCTGGCTCTTTGTGGTTGTTAAAATTACCCTTGTAACATTGACCTTGTGAAGAAGAATTTTATTCACTGTGATTGATAATGCGACTGTGTTTTACAAATGACACCATAGGTACCGAGTCCAGTGCAGTCCGGGACAGATCATTAGTTACAGTGTTCTCGACTTTGATCTGGAGGGAAGCAGTACTTGTTCCAGTGGAACTGAGTGTCTGGACTATGTAGAGATCAACTACCAGAACCTTGCCACGAGACAGAGGTTTTGTGGTGGCGGTGAAACGGGTGAAGTACAGATTGAGGGTTCCAATGAGTTAACATTTGAGTTTGTTAGCAATCGTCAAACAGAGAAGCGTGGCTTCAAATTCTTTGTGAATTGCATTGATCCTTCAACTGATGTCAATGGCCTTAGAGTAGGGGCAGTGGTACCGGCATTTGAACCATCTTCTAACAGAATAGGAAACTTCAGAATAGGAAACTTTGACATCAATCCATGCTCAGAGCCACCAAACATGGCTCCAAGACCACTTATTTTTGAGGTTTGCTGGATCTTTGCAAAAACTATGGGGTGATCAATGATATCATGTTTATTTTATTTTAGACACCATCTTCATTTGTACCATCAACGTTGGTCAGAAGATACGTAGTCCAATTGTTTGGGTTTATCTACTACAACAGTGGCTCTATTCGGGTGCATAATGCCCAGGGAGAACTTATCAACACCATCAGGGGAATCTTGCGTCTTGAAGTTACTAATCGCTTTGAAACTACTGTTCGTCGTTACAGTTCCATCTCAGGAGGAGTTACATTTAATGGATATGGTAATAATTATACTGGTTCATAATGCCTTCTAAAGTCATCATCCTTATTGTTGTGTTACAGGTATACTGGAAGTAGATGGTGAGAATGCAAACTTCAATCAACAAGGAGTAGATCCTGTGGTGAGCAACCTTAACCAGGGGGAGCATATATAACAATTTTGTTAAAGAGGACTGTGGCAGTACTAAAGACATAATCCCTTACGTACTACCACATTACCTTGTGTATCATTCTATGTACAGTTTCAACCTACACGCGAAGAAAGTTCCTCTATTATTGAGTTGGAGAGGACAATCAACAGGATAATAGGGAACGATTTCTTTGACGTAGTGGACCAGTATGATGAACCTTCAGGGATCCTAGACATTCTGCCTTTTCCAGACCAGATAATACTTCAAGAGCCTAGTCGTCTCCCTCCGGGCAGATTAATCCCACGACAAGCTGCCTTCCGTTAGTCCTATGTAGACACTATCTTTTTACTTTTATGCTTATCTTTTCCAGGTCCACTGAATATCCCAACCACAAGTAAGTCTGTACTTGCAGTGTGCATAAATTGCATGCCTGCAAAGTTACTGCCCAATAATAATTATGTTCTCGTGACCCTTAGTCTGGAGTTCATAACTAGGTGTTTGTATGGTTCGTGTAATTTGTGCCAGGATGTAAAACCATGCATACATGCATACTGCATCACTTCCTCATGTTGCCTGTATATAGAGGCAACCCATTCTGTTCACACAACATTGAAAGGGTTACTATTACTCATGAAACCTTGATGGGGTTTCGTTGCTGTAATGACATGACTAAATTTCCTTCCCTAATCACCCATCCTTTCTCCCTGTAATTTCCAGCAACAGAGCTGGCAGCTCAGTATGGCAATGCCTGCAATGCAGTTCTACGCTCCACAGCCTGTGCCTACCAGGCTCTTTTGCTAGGCATCGACTGCAACACTGGACTTGCCATAAACTAGGGTGTCATTTTGTTAGATCCTAGCTACCACTGATAGTGTGAATCATTATTGCAAAAAAGAGACAAAACTTCAGTATTGGGTGGCATCAAAAGCAATAACTTATGTGTTAATGAACAAATGGCACATTACTATGCAAAACTCACCTGTTATAAGTGATCGTATGTACAGTGTAAACATCAACATGGCCGGAAGGCAAAGGCAAAGCAAACAATTCAACTACACAAAGCAAACAATTCAACTACACCCAGGAAAACGAAAGAAGAGCTGCCCTGGGTAGGGATTCGAACCCACAAAAGAGTGCTCTTATCCACTGAGCTGCCAGAGGAGGTCAAATTCAACATTTATGATTCAACAAAGAAAGCTGATGACAGTCAGCTTAGACAGACGTAGTAGACAGAGAGAGTGTAGTAGACAGAAAGAGAAAACCCAACTTCTGTAAGGAGTCGAACTCGGGGCCTGTTCAGTGGGAAACAAGCACACTAAGCACTGAGTCACAACTCCCAGATAAAATCTGCTCCTCCCCTTTCCTTCTAAGTACTGCAAGCAATCATTGCCTCTGGCAACCTCACACTGGCAGCCACTCTATTGTATACCATAGACAGGTTACCTTCTACATCAGCCGAGGAGGTGGATAAGTCAGGTAAATGATGATAGGTCCTTCCGTCACCTGGGATTTGTAGGCTTACATAGGCGTAGTAACGAGAGCACACTGGCTACAACTCCTACACCAAAGCTGGTCCTCCCCTTTCCTTTTAAAAGAGGCCTGAATCTCAGTAGTTAGGAGTTGTGCCCTCTGTTAGCCAGGTGTTGTTGGAGTGAATAAAGATACATAGCAAGAAGACAGTCATAGACAGACAGAAAAACAGACATAATGGCAGACGATACAAGCAACTTGGGTACCATTCCATGCTGCATGCGCAGTGGAGCAATGACTAGGCTACCTACAATATTATATGGGTACCAGACTACACAGCATACACTACAACTCAGAACATAAGGTTAGAACACGTGAACACAGGCTGAGCAAGTCACATACACAAATCCATCTTCATCAGCAGCAATGCCACAGGGGTTGACCATGGTCAGCCCGGTGCTGAAACACTCGAGAAATTCGCTGCAGACATGGAATATTGAAACTCGGTGGTTTCCCGCTTCACTGACAAAGATGCGACCAAATCTATCGATTGCGATTCCAGACGGGCGGTTTAGCTTTCCTTTCTGTGAGCCTTGGGATCCAATCCTCCCTCTAAACTCCCCCGTCGGACTAAAAATATGGATGCAGTCTTGTTTCATGTCCGTGATGTAGCAAATGCTGTGGTCATCAAATGCCACGTCCCAAGGGTCTTCTAGTTTTCCCACCCCAACACCCTGTCCTCCAAACTCAAAGTGAAAGGCTAGCTCCTGGTCCAGAACCACCACACGTGAATTCCCACGGTCCACCACATAGACAAGTCCCTTCCTGTTCATCTTGACACCCGATGGCTGGTTGAGAGAACCGCTTGAGCACTTGCTCCCATCATATAGAGCCAAAAAAGCACCATTGGAAGAAAATTTCTTCACCGCATTGTTTTTGCTGTCGGCAATGTACATATTCCCCTCTGTATCAACTGCAACACCTAGAGGCTTGTTGAGGAGTGAATGGTCTGTGCCACTGGAGCCAAACGAGAGGATTCTCTTCGACTTCCGTCCAAAGACAGTCACAGAGTGCCGATTCTCCTCCGTGACCACAACATGATTCTTAGCATTTATCGCAAGGGCTCGCGGACTGCTGAGGTTCGAGATGGTCTTCACTGGAGCCTGAAAGTGCTGTGGTGGTGGCTTCACGTAGAATGTGTAAGGGCTCCCCGTGATGTGTTTTTCATTGATGTACACATTTGCGGAATAGCGGCCACGCTCGCTGAAAGAGCACTGGAGCTTTGCAAAGCCACTGCCGCTAATGGCAATCCGTGCCGGGCAGACAGAGCCATCTCGCAGGGACTGGATCTCGGCTTTGAACCGATTCATTGGACTCACACGGCTCTTGTAGTATGCAGATGACAGGGCAATGAAGAATGTGATTATTTCATTGACAGAGAAATACTTTTCGCCTGTGGTACCGGCATAGAAAATGCTACCATTGCTTACATTCCCGGCACTTTGCACCAAATCTGTTGTGCTGGGACCCATGAACAAGTGGACCTCTGGTTCTTCAACCGGCAATAAATCGAGGCTTTCAAATTCCTCCTTGACTGCTTTGACTTGTTGTTTCATCTGTTTCTCGACCCTGAAGAACTGGGACATGTGCCCACCTGAAGACGAGGCTGACACAAACTCGATGCAATCCACAGCCTTTGTCTTCATGGCTTTCAGCTCTTCAAACTGTTTCTGCAGTGGTTTCTGCTCACATTCTTCAAGCTCTTGAGCATTTTTTACGAGTTGCTCACACCTTGCTGAGATCTCTTTCTGGAGGCGTTCAAAGCTGGTTTGGACCTCGCACACCACAGTGTCGGTGTTGGCAGCGTACTTCTCCGAAATGCTTCTGACTTGGTCAATTGCCAGCTGCAGCTGCTGAGGAATGTCGACAATTTCACTCAAAGCATGCTTGATGGACTCCTTGTGCTTGGCAGCAGATTCCTTTGAGAGGTTGTAGTTGTGGTCGCGGTGTGTGCGTATAATGCACTCGTGGCAAATTTCCATTTGGCAAGTCTCGCAGAACATGGTGCACGTCCCAGAGTGGGCAGGACACAAGAGAGGCTCACTCTGGTGAGAGATGCAGTCACCAGTGGAGTTCCTCAGGTCGCTCAGAGGAATCACTTTGTGGGATTGGAACTCACCCCAACAGCCGTGGATTGTGACACACAGGTGGCAGATAAACTGCGCGCATTCGGGGCAATACGAGGTCGCCTTCTCGCTTTTCTTGTTTGAGCACTTCTCACACAGTGCAGGGACACTCCCGTTCACTATTTGGAGGAACCTGTGCACCACAATCTTCCTGTTGATGTGGAATGCATCTGGATAGGCTTCGAAATCATTGTCGGGAACTTCAGATTCACAGTTGCACTTGGGACACACAACAACCGTGTGATCATTGGTATTGAGTGTGCTGAGCGAGCGCAGACACGAAATGCAAAATGAGTGCAGGCAGTCGATTGTCTTTGGGTAGGAGTACATCTTGCTGCATACGTGACACCTGATGTCCTCCTGCAGGTTTGCCATATCTGTTGTGTGGGTTTTGTTGTCAGCGGCCCCTGCCTCTGCCATTCCTGAGATTTAGACAGGTGTGGGTCTGCCTGTGTGGATTTTGATTATAGACCTTTGTAATAATTCATGGTACCTGATAGCTTGCCATTGGCATAACAGTTACATTGACGTATTCCACTTATAGCTGCAATAATCTAGCTAGCTACGGCCTTGTAACTACTTTTAGCCATTTGAAACAACTACACCATTGCTTCTAGCTTTAGGCTACTAGGTATATTACAATATCCTCGGGTTGCATGTGTAACAACACTTTCAAAAAAGGATTACAGTAGCTACACACATTCACTTACTATAGCAATCAGTAGCTTATGGATAAGAGGCGAACACCCTCAGGGATTGAGCAGACGCCAGAGGTATTCAGGCTATGTAGCAGCAGCAGTGTTCCGACTGTGTTTGTGCGGTTTTAAATAATGCTGCGTTTTAGAGCTCCACCTACATTGGCCGTTCGAGACCGAGTTCTGCAGTGTCTGAGACTCGGTGGGGGGGGGGGAGCGCTATGAAACCTCCAGAGACTGACGCGCAAGTGATACTTGCTGTATGATTTGTGCAGTGGGTTGCATTATGCGATCTAATGTTACACAGCCATCCACAATCCCTTTACCACCATTCAGCAACACAACACCGAACTGTATTTGCGCATGCGCACGTTTGGTCATGCCCAGCCCCTTTTTCGCCCGCAGCGCGATGGCGGCCGACCATCAGCTTGTGGAAGGGGTGGGGGATGAAGTCGTGCTGTTTGCCGCATTTCTTGTCCTCTCCATTTGTTTCTTTGCATGCTTGTCGCTGCGAGGAAACCGAAGCAGACACAGGAGACACAGTGACAGCGAACGGGAGGGTAAGACATATAGCCGGCCGCTAGCTACTTCAGTGTGTAGGACTCACTACACGTGTGTAATGCAGGAAATGATGAACGTACAGACGAAGCTACTAGCAGCCCTCCAGCCACAGCAGCCGTAGATAATGAAAGGGAGAGTGTATTGGAAAGGCACGTTGGAGAGGAGTTGTCTTCTGATCCACCCAGGCAGCAGCAGAGTGGGGAGACTACAGTAAGAGCCAGGTTTCCCCAGCCACAATCAGATGAGGGAGAAGGCGACGAGTCTCTCTGCATTCGACTCATTCTGCCCAACAACTCGACCATTAATATCAATGCTCAGCGCAGCACAACACTTGGAGATTTGAGAAGGTTATACAAGTGACACTAGGTTTCCACTCATTTAGTGTTTTCACGTGTGTCATGCTGTTTATTATGGTAATGTTTGCTGAGGGTTAAAATGATTTAGCATTACTTGTTTGTCTTTTAGGATGCACTTCCAGGAGCAGCTTTCTGAGCGGAGACCAATTCGGTTCATCTACCAGGGAAGGGTCCTGGAGAACGATGCCCAAACTCTACAGGAGTTGGGTGTAGGTGCTCACCATGCCATTCACGTACACATAGGGAGACCGAGACCCCTCAATGGCCAGGAAAACCAGAACATTGGTCCCCAGCCACCTGGGCAGATGTTGGATATCTCCCAGCTATTCCTGCCCCTGTTTGGACTCATCATAGCTATATGCTGGGTCTCCATGTTCTGCTTCCCCTATGTCTTTACTCTGGTCACAAAGATACTGCTCTTTGTTCTGTCTCTTGTGTATGTTTTTCTCACCTACATTATGACTCGGACAACTACAGCATAGTAGTTCTATTGTTTTCTATTGCTGTGCAATTCAACAATAAACTAATGGATGCAACACGCAATTGTATTGTTTATCTCAAATTATGCATGCTTGACAATTGACCTTCCATGGCACGAGAAAACGGCCCATTCAGTGTGTAGCTATGTACACACTATGGGAAAATAGTGGATTGAGTCAGGGAATGTGTCAGTACGTAAGGGCTAAATTTAGAAAAGTTACTAAAGATAGAACTAAATAGCCCATACGTACTGCCACATACCCTTCCTCTGAAACAAAAGTTATGGCCGTCCAATATGTATTAGTATTATGGTACGTTTTTAATGTGCATAATAATGTGATTTTGTCGAAAATAGGTTTATACCAACACTCTTGTTATAACTGTATGCAATCTGATATGAAAACCATGTTCACTTCCCATTGCCTGCCACTATATAGGCTTGGACAACAGTAAAAAACCGCATCAGGTGGCCAGAAACTATGATGAACTTAGAATAGGGTGGAAGGTCAGATGTCGACTAGCTATATACATAGTTGAACCTCTGTTACTTTTAACTGAACAGCTTTGTGTCTATTAATGTTTATACATGTGGGAAGCTATAGTATTCTGGCATCCCCCTCAAAGAGTGTAAACATTGAAACATAATCTCACACCAAGTGCTTCAATTTGTTATAATAACTTTTAGTAAAGCATCTGTGTGATATAGCTATACTAAAAAACATAGAAAGAGGAGACTGAGGTTAAGGGACTGTCTCATAACAATGCTCAACAGTAACTGCTTCTTCATCAACTGCTGTATCGTAGGCAGCGTTGGAACTCATCACACTCGGAGCATTCAGATTCCTCGACATATACATTGGTGTAGCACTTGATACATCCACACACCTGCTGCTAAAATAACAACAAAGGTGACAATTGTAAAATTCCTTACCTTGTAGATGGAGCACTGGCTTTCCCCCTGTATTTTCTTGTGATCAACAACACCAGAGGCAGGATCACAGCCACCAGTAGAACAATAATCACAGCTGCTGCCACACTTCCAGCAATAGTGGCTAATGACGACTCACTGCTTTGCTCTGGCCCCAGCAAATTGGAGAGAAAGTAACACTAGCCAAATTCACGCTGCATGCTCACCTGCTTTGTTGGTAGACTGAGTGAGTTCAACCGAAGAGTTCCCAGCTGGGTTGGAGACTGTGAGGTGGATGGTATAACTAGTACCACTCTTTAGATCCTCAATTCTAAAGCTGTTGGTATCAGTTGAGAGTCTGCCACTGGATCCAATGTTGTCCGCTGCACCATTGACCAGTCCAATCGCAGCTTGTCTCCACGTCACCTCTGAGTAACTCACATCGGTGGGAATGGTCCAGAATATGAAGATAGTGGTGGGCGTTGTCTGGATTGCATCCATATTGATGACTGGCTTCTCTGGAATGTTTACTAAAGGGTGGAAAATGGCAGCCAGATCTGTTAGACAGCGACAGGTTAGCTAATAGCTACCAAGTCTTATCGTTGTTGTTAGGGTCTCGCTAGGCAGGGCCATAGAGGTTGCAAAAATGGATATGCTGTAGGTTTCTCCATGCCGAAGGCCAGTAAGGGTGTGGCTGTCAGTGGAGCCATCACTGATATCTTCACTGCCACTGTCTCCTCCAGTGCTGTCGTAGTGTATCCTGTAGCCAGTGGCATCACTGGAGGGACTCCATGATAACATTACAGTAGAGGGGCCTTCCTGGCCTGATGTTATGCCTTCTGGAGCTGTAGCATCTAAATGTGGTTGAAGGTATAATATTGTACATATATACCAATACTTTTGTGTTCACTGTTGTGATTGAAGGTTGCCATTTAGCTACCTTGCACAGTGATTTGAGCCGAATCCATGGACGGCTTATTATTTTGAACTGTGCAGGTATACAGTCCTCCCAGTCTCCCAGTCACATTAAGAGTGTGAGTGTATTGTGAAGTCATAAGGTTCTCCAGCATAGTGGCAGTTCCTTCACTGACAGTGGTTGAGTCTCTGGTCCAAGTGACAGTGGTAGCAGGTCCTCCAGTGGAGATACAGGTCAGGATGAACCGAGGACTGGGTCCATTGAGGTCAGAGTTCACAGTCATTCTGACATTACCGGATACAGTAATGTTCCCTGCAAGAGAAAACATTATTAAAAGATTCGCCACTTAATATCAACTCCTACCTCCTTCCCTAGAGTAAAGCCCAACATAGGCCCTCTCACTCTCTGATGTAAAGGTGGGGACTTCGCAGCAATAGATGCCTTCCGCTGATGTTGACAAAGGTTCACTTCGACGACGTAGATCATTTGCATGGGGAATGCCAAGATAATATACACTCTGGGCATTGCCGAGATTTTGCAGAGTACTTCCATTTGGAAAGTACCAGTATCCACGATCTGGACGGCCTTCACAGCATGTGCTCCGATCTGTGTGGCACCTGATACCAGTATCTCCAGCCATTCCCAGGAGACTGGCATTCACATAGGAATGATTAGCTATAAACTCTCCTTGGAAGGTGAGGTAGGGAACATCGTGTGACTGAACCTCTGCCAGACACACAAATACAATAAGACTTAGTAGAGATAGACTCATGATGGTAGATGTTGTTCTACTGGAAGCTGAGTATGATGCAATGGTGAAAATAATTATTTTAAACATCACCAACATCATTAAAATTCTGTGCATTCCAATGGACAAAATGGGGCACCTAGCAAACGTTCTTTAGCACGCATGCGCAGTTCTGGTTAGCTGCGCATGTGCAAGTAGCAATGGAATTTAATAGTAGATTAAATGGGGTTAACAGCATGAAGCAGGTCACAATGTTCTAGGAAGTCCGCATGCGCAAAGGTGTCGGCCGCATGCGCAAAGGTGTCGGCCTCGTGGTCTTAGTCAGCACTATTTCCTAGCATATCCGTGAG